TGGAGAAGATTTACAGAAATAATATTTGAGGTAACAAAGGACATGCGAGAATTACCAGAAACACAAGAGAGGAAAAGACCATTTAGTGGGAGAACACATGAGTAGAGCCTTGTATTATGAAGGACAAGGTAAAGGCCCCAAGAGGGACCCTAAATAGTAAAAATGAGATTGAAAAAAGGTATTTAGAGGCTAAATAAAATGTGAAGAACCTATTTACTATTCTAAGAACCATGGAAACTTATGGAAACAGCAGAGGAGTGACATGTCCAAATGTGCCTATAGAAAGATTGTATTGGAGTCACTGGAGGAAGAATGTGGAACTACTTTAGAGACAGTGGATGGCTGGGGTCATGGTTCAAGTGGTAGATTACCTGCCTAATATGAATGAAGCCCTGAGTTCAAATTCTTGTACTTCCAAGAAGAGATAAAGATAAGGTAAGAACTTATATGAGAAAAGTTTAAAAAAAAACAAAACATACCAGGCATAGTGGCGCATACCTATAATCTCAACTACTTTGGGAGTTGAGAGTGGGAGGATCATAGTTCAAGGCTAGCCAGAGAAAACATTAGTGAGCCCTGCTTCAATAAAAACAAATCAGGCATAGTGATTCGTGCCTGTAATTCCAGCTAGAAGGATCGTAGTCCAAGTCCAGCCCAGGAAAAAAGTAGGACCTTTTCCAAAAAGTAACTAAAGCAAAAAAAGGGGCTGGGAGCAGAGTTTAAGTGTTACAACACTTGGCTAGCAAGTTTACTTTCTGGTACCAATTTTTTTGGGGGGGAGGGTCCGGTCGTGGGGCCTGAACTCTGGGCCTGGGCGCTGTCCCTCAGCTCTTCAGCTCAAGGCTAGCGCTCTACCACTTGAGCCACAGCACCACTTCTGGCTTCTTTCTTTTTGCTTATGTGGTGCTGAGGAATCGAACCCAGGGCCTCAGGCATGCAAGGCAAGCGCTCTACCACTGAGCCACCTTCCCAGCCCCCAATTTTTTTTCCTAAAAATAATATAAGACCCACCAGGCACACTGGTGGCTCATGCCTATAATCCCAGCTACTCAGGAGACTGAGCTCTGAGGATCACAATTTGAAGCCAGACTAGGTAGGAAAGTCCATGAGACTCCCTTCTCCAATTAACTACCCAAAAGCTGCACGTGAAATAAGGTTCAAGTGGCAAAACACTATTCTCCAGCAAAAAAGCTCAAGGATAGTGCTCAGACCCTGAGTTCAAGCCCCAGGACTGGCATGAATAAGGATGATGATTATAATACAAGACCCAAACACAACTTTGAGAAGCTACTGTTTTAAGGACATTGCATTGTCAAAAAAAGTTTTGTTACAGTCTAGTCAACAACATGGCAACTACTAAAGCAAACACTACGATCAAACTCTTCACTAGCATCCCCTCAAAACTCTGTGCACCACTGCTAACACTAGCACCGTAAGTAAAGTCCTCCCTCGAAGCCAACTAGATAGTCTGGCCAATTTACGTCTAAATAAATGGGTCAACTGAGAATACTTCTGAGATGTTATTGCTCATCCTGCTAGGCTTTCTCAACAATGGATGGTATATATTCAGGACCAATATTGAATGTATGGTACTTCATTTCCTCTTTTGGTTGGGTATATTCGTTCCACCTCACTTGATTCGGAAGACAGAAGCTTCTTTTATTATTTATGTCATAAACTGTGGAATGGAGAAGAGTGGATTAATTAATTCAAAGTAATGGTTAAATCCAAACTAAGGATGAAGGAATGGATAGCAACCACAGAAGCCAGAATCACAGAAGCTCAACTGTGCCACTTTGTAAGACCGAAGCTATATGCCCTTTTAGATTCTCAGTGGGAAAATGTGAATATTAGAAATTGTACAGTTTGGTTAGACAGGGATTAAGTAGAAACACTTTAAGAATCAAATATATGAGGAGCAGTTTATATTTACTAAGCAGCCTATAGCTTCTATCTACAAACAATACCAGTTCCTTCTTTTTTTTTTTGGTCAGTCATGGAGCTTGAAATCTGGGCCTGAGTGCTGTCCTTCAGCTCTTCAGCTCAATGCTAGTGCTCTATCACTTGAGCCACAGCGCCACTTCTGGTTTTCTTGTGATTTCTTGGAAATAAGACTCTCACAGTCTTTCCTTCCTGGGGCTGGCTTTGAACTGCGATCCTCAAGTCTCAGCCTCCTGAGTAGCTACAGTTCCATTTTTTTATGATGATGACAAAAAAAAAGAGATATAGGGGCTAACTCTGTGTTTAGAGATTCAAATACTCAAAACTTTCTAAAAGTAATTATGTACCCCTAATATCACATACTCAATGAAAGGGACTCTCAAGCTGTCTCTAGATACTAAGTAAACAATGCCTACTGACACCCATCATCATGTCCTTGAAACACAATGTTCTTCTTAATTTTAGACAATCTGGCTTTCTACAAAATTATCTAACACAAAAAGGCAATTCTCTTATTTCCAATATTACCTAAAATTGAAGGAAGCAACCATTGCAAAGGAAATACCTGTTTCTACAAGTTTTCTCCTCCTCTGGCCAAATATTATTCAAATGGAGAGATATAAGATTAAAAACTCATTGCATGTTCTTGTCCAGAAATAGTTTGCCTGAAAATATAGATCTCAGTTTAAGTCTGGTCTTGATACAGTATCTTCAGATGCCCCATTCTATTCTGGGTTCATTTTATAACCCAGAATCAGTAGAAGCCCTTCTCTCTTCTCTATTCATGAGACAGAATTATTTACATGTAGAAATTGAGTTAATTCCAAAGACAGAACCAAGTTAAATTAGGGAAACTTTTTTAAAGAGGTCTCACTATATGGCCCAGGCTGGCCTTGAACTTAGAATCTTTCTTCCTCAATCTCCTGAGTGCTAGAATTACAGGTCTGTACCAATATGTCTGACTTTTGAAAAGTTATCTTTTGGAATAAATTAGGCTGAAAATTTCCCAAGTATTCCCCAGAAAGCACAAGCTTCAGAGGTGCTGTGATGCAGTCTCTAAATTCATGTCAATTACTATGTTAAGTAACAATAATACTTAAACATCTTATGACATCAAGCAGAGCAGCAAACTGGGTTTTTTTTCTTTTATTTTCCATTTCTTTTCTTTACTTGTTCTACTATTTTTCCCAATTGATTGGGCCAAGGGAAAGAAGAACTTCCGGAGGAACATTTCATATGATATATAATACTGCTACATCTATGTATAAAGATAGTAAAAAAAAATCACCAAATCTGTTAAATAATAGTTGGGGTAAATAGAGCAATAAAGAAAATTATCTGATTAAAATATATGTGTGTGAGAGATCTCAGTGAAACCCTTTGGTTAATACACTACAGAAAAGAAAGAAGGAAGAAGGAAGGAGGAAGAAGAGGCAGAAGAGGCAGAGGAGGCAGAGGAGACAGAGGAAAAGGAAGAAGAAGAAGAGGAGGAGGAGGAGGAGGAAGAAGAAGACGAAAAACAGGCTCTGTTAGGAGGTGGAGTACCAGTGGGGAGGGGGAGGTGAATGGAGAGGGTAAATGAAGATTAGTATGGTCCAAATACTTTATATGCAGGTATGAAAATAAAACAACCACCAGTTGAAAAAGTTTCATGAAAGGAAGTAGTTCAGGCTGATGAGGTACATTGTATCAAACTGTTACAATGAAAGCCTCCCCATAACTAATGTATGGTATTAAAATGTTTAAAGAAAGAAATGTTGGATTTAAGTCTCATTACACGAGACAAATGGTTAACACTGAGATACCTTGTAACTGGGATGTGTCCTCCTCCACTAGGTGGTTGTCTTCTCCTCCCTAAGTATTTTGTGCTCCCTCAGAAAACTAGAGACCAAATAATGTCATAAGGAAAAAAATTAAAGTACACCTTTATTGTTTTTCCTTCTAGTTTTGTTACTAGCGTCCTAAAACTGGTAAGGACAATAATAAAACTGAATCAGTTACTTTACTACAATAGTCCCTTTATGTGTTTCTTTACTTTTCAATTTCTCTCCATCCCATTGTATTCTGTATGCTATATTAGCCCAAATCTTCCTTAAATATGAAAAATCTAAATATTTGCCACTAAAATAATCATAATTTTTCTTTTACCTCAACATTTGTAAGGTAAAATAAAAGTTCCTCAGTTTGCTAAGTCTTTGAATTGAGCCTTAAAAATTAATCTTCTCAGTGTATGCCTCCTTAATAACTTATATAAATTAACTCCAAAGTCTTAACTTCCACAAAAATCTTTCACTCGGTGTTAAATGTACTCCCTAACACTAATTGGAAAGAAAAACTAAATGTGGAGATAGTTCTAAATCTCTCAGTCTGGCCCTGTGGTATTTTCAAGATTTTTCTCAAGCAATACCCTCTCTCCCTCTCCCTCACTCTCTCTCCCCTCTCTGTCTCTGTCTCTCTCTTTCTCACATACACACACACACACAAAACTGTCATATTTTCACTAGCAAACAGGAAAGTAAAAATAATTTTTAATTTCTAAAAGCAAATAATGACTTCTCCATGAAGACAGGGCCTTTATTCATCACCCAAGGAGTCCTCAATATCTGCAGTATTATTTGCTACCTATTAAACAAATATTTTTAATAAGAGTATCTTTATTCTAAATAAAAATATTGCTGCTATATTGGTGATACATTATATGGATAATGAAAACCAAACACAAACATTTTTGAAATGTTCCATGGTTCCTTCATTTCACTAAATTTTAGTTTCTTTTGAAATTTAAATGGAAAAGGCTTCATGATGCCAAGTTCAAAAGTCATTAGTGATAATTTATCAAGTTCCTATTTTTCCAGATATAAACATACAATCTTTGGCCCAGATGGTATAACTTTTCCATAGTCTTAAACATTAAGGCTCATGAAGACCCTTCTTATGAATTTCTTTGTGTTTCACAGGTCTTCAGGAACAAAATTGACTGTTATATTTTGACGGTAAATAAGGCAAAGTGAAGCAAAAGGAAAAAACAATTCACAATAAAATCTTTGTTATAATATTTATTGTTAGAAATGGATCTTTAATGCATACTTTGTGTTTATATAAATTCTACATTCTCTTAAAGCTTTGTCTTTTGTTTTCTTTGGAGTTTTTTTCTTTTGGCCTCCAAGTGAACTTAATACATTATCTATGTATTTGGTTCTTTATAGACTTTTTTTAGGTTGAAAAATTCATTTTGAGACACCATGCATATTATATACCTTACTTAATCCAAAGAACTGCTTGCACTTCCAAAAAGTCACAATAAGGCTGAACTTATAACCTTTATGTCCTAAATTTTCCATGTTCCATTTCTGAATAAAGAAATACTTATTCAGTATTATGTATGCTTGCTACCTAAAAACTCAGATTGTCAGAGACGCTTCAGTAAATTATCTCTAGCTTAAGATTATATCTTATTCTACTTTCTCTCAGAAATGACTTTGTCAACATTAAATGCTGTGCCATATGCAGTATTTTCCCAAAAGCTTAAATAAGAATCAAACTTGTACTTTCTAGACTGTATATTTAACCTTAAAATTATATATCTATATATACACATATAGTATGCTGCATGTTAAATTATCACTTCAAGTAACTTGAATATATTTAGCAAACATTCAGCCAAACATTCGTTCAGACTTAGACACCACTAAGCCTATGAAACTTGAAAATTCAAGTAAAGTCTGCAGAAATATTAAGAAAAAGAAGATTGATTTTTGAACTTACAGAATTGTGCAGATACAAAAGTGCTTAGCATGACAAAATTACCAAAATAAAAACATTTTGAAAGTTATTTGGTTCTAGCAATATTAACTACTATGTACTTTTGGATAATCGAACATTTGCATTTTAAATTTTATAGAAATGTTCTCTTTTTAACAAGTTAAAAAGGCACACAAAAAATAGATCAAACTATAATGTTATTTTTCATCCTAGTTAACTCATCACAGATAACTCAACAAAAGAATGCTTGAATACTCAGCTGTACTAAAATACAGTATTTGAATAGAGCACATCACTTCATCCATTGTTTGCTACCCCTGATCCTAGAACAGGCTGCCGACAGACTGGACAAGTACAATTCTCTGAGAGCCATCGGTCAATACAGTGGATATGAAATTCATGCATACAAGGTAATTGCCTGAGTTTGTTTCCAGTTACGTAGTCACTAATACAAACACTACAGATTTTACCTAATTCACTATCAATACCATTGTGCTCATAGTTCCGGGTTGAAAGATTGTCAATCTGCTCTTTGGTTAAACCACGTATTGGTTCATCATCACCCTCATTTAGTAAAAAGAAGTGAGCAAGGCGAAGAATAGGTAAGGTTCCAGTCTCAACTAAATTGTTTGAATTTTCCAACTGCCTGCTACCTCTGTTGTCACTGTTTCGAGCCAGTGGTTGGGTGGTCTCATTTTCACCTGACAATTCAGTGCTGCCTACTTGGCCTCGCCTATCTCGTGAGGAACCTACACTACGCTGGCTGCTGTCATGACCTGAACCTAAGTTGTTACTCAGTTCTGAGTGCATATCTGGCAAATACTGACCATTTCTCTGAATCTCTGACTCAGACTCAGCCTCCATTAGAGAACTTAGTTCTCCAAACCCAGTCATGATCTGCCTTAAAATTGACCGAAGAGCCACTGAGGATGGCTCAACAAGCTCATTCTCAGAAACCCTCCGAAGGGGCACTGTTATAGTGCTAACATAGGTTCGAATGCCTGACCGTTCTAAACGGGAAATAGTTCGTCGAAAACCCCCACTATTGCTTTCAACAGTGACTGTATTTTCTGCTAGCCCTACTCTGGATCGGGTTCTATTTGCAATACTATCCCGATCTCTATTTTCTCCAGGACGAATCCTTCTCACTTGAAGATCCAGTGTGATTGTTGGATGTCGTCGTATAGCAGCTAATGATCTGCTAGATTCTTCTCCTTCTTCTACTGTTATTCTTGACACAAGTCTTGAATTGGAGAATGGGGCATGTGTAGTTCCTTGGCGTCCCCTATCCTGTTCTAAAAAAACCTGAGTTATACGTCTCCTCCTAATAGACCTTCTAATGGTTTGTTGCAAAGGTCTGCTTTCCCTTTGGGAATTGGAATCAACAGTGCCACTCTGCCTATGAATTGGTGAACGGCTTCGACTACTGAAAGTAGACCGTAATCTTATTGGCTCTAATCTTTGGTTTGTATTCCTCACTGTAACATTACTTCTAGCCCCATTTTCCCAAACATGTGCTGCTCCAAATCGCTGCCCCTCCCTCTGCCTGAGTTCACTACCTGATTGGTTTGTGTGAGTACTAAAATTAGTGCTAGGAGAACTAGTTCTAGGAATGTTAACTGCTCCCCCAATGCCATTTCTTGACCTTCCCAGTGTTGAGGATGATCCTTCAACCAAATTCTGCCCTCTTGAACCAATCGTCCCAGTCCTTGGACGATTAGGACGACTACCACTGGAATTCATTGAGGTTTGGCTTCTTGTTCGCCTAGCCACAGGACTAGTTGATCTTTGTTGCCTATTTCTAGTATGATCTCTGCTAATATCTGACAATGGAATGTCCATGTAATCTTCTCTAGGAACTTCAAATCCTCTATTCTCATGATTTATGTGGATTTCCAAACTAAACCGAAACTCTCCGCTATTTGGGTTTGCTCGACTCACAGCTCTCCAAGTTTGGTTCCCATTTTGTCCACTTCGTGTAGCATTTCCTGTGCGACGAAAGGTGTTCAACCATTCCATCAAAGAATCTTCATTTGAACTTTCACTCAGAATTTCTGAATCTGAAAGGCAAATTAAATCAACTGTAGGTCTATTTCTAAAATCTATCCTTAGATCTTTATTGAACACTTGTAAAACGACAACAACAGAATTTGTATTAAATAATGACTGTGTTTTTAATAAACAAAAAAAGGTTAAAAGGGCTCAGGGGGATGTGTTTATAATCCTAGCTACCCAAGAGACAGAGCTTGGGAAAATTGCTGTTAGAGGGTAGCCTGGGCAAAGGTTAACAAGACCCTCTCCCTGCCCTCCCATCTTAATCAACAAGCCAGGCATGGTAATTTCCTTCTTGTGGTCCCATCTACTGGGAAGTTCAGGAAAGAAGACTGAGGTCGGAGACTGACCCCAGGACACTATTTAAAACGAAAAAACACTAAAGCAAAAAGGCTAGAGGCCTCAAGCGGAAGAACCCCTATCTAGCAAGCCCAAGGCTACAAATTCAAACCCCAGTAATACAAAAGTAACCAAAAATTGAACTTTCTAAATATATATACATATATATTATAAACATATGGAATTATAAAACTTTAGATAGTATTTATGCAAAATTGTGGAGAAATCTACTTTCTTGCTTTATATCTGCTCGTTATTAACAAAATATTAAGACAAATGAGAAATATACCCAATACCAAAATTTTACAATTATAATTATTTCCCTCACATACTACAATAAAATACACTGGCAAAATTCATATCTGGAATCATTCCTTAGCAATTTTATCTTATATCTCAGGGCCTGCCAAAAACTGTTCATCTAAAGAAACCTAGCTTTATAGATAAAATATTAGAACCATATTAGCTGCCTTTATGTGAACTCAAGAGTTCTATATGGTTTTATCCTTGTCTTTAAATAAGGGGTAACAATAGTAGCAATTTCATAGGGGCATTGTGAATATAAAATAAGACACTGAATATAAAATGATTAACACCTGACACATAGGTAGGAAGCATTCAATAAATATTCTCAACTTATTTTTTACATTCATTTTGAATGTGAACTTCATTGCTAAATTTCCAGCCTCAAGGAGGGCACCAATGGCTCACACTTGTAATCCTAGCTATCCAGAAGGCTGAGATTTGAGGGTTGAAAGCCACCTTGGGCAGACAAATTCAAAAGACTCATCTCCAATTAAGCAAAAGCTAGAAGTAGAGGTGAGGTTCAAATGGTAGAGCTCCAACCTTGAGCAAATAAAGCTAAGTAAGAGCAAAGGTCCTGAGTTCAAGCCCTAGTACTAGTGTATACACACACACACACTCATAATTCCCAGCTTCTACAACAGTTACAAGACTAGACTCACAATATTATGAAATAAACCACTTTATTAATCAATGTGTCCCAGATAAATTTTTCATTATGATAGAGCTACTATGCCAAGCTTAAATATTTCATTTGCAACCAGTGAGTTTAAAGTATAAAACTTAATGAAAAATATTTTGAGACAAACTTTGACTTTAAAAATGTGTTCTAATCAGAAGTACATATCAGATAAAATATTTTTATTTCATTAAGATATTCCAATCTAGCTTTAAACATTTTTTTGTTTTTCTTCATAAATGTTGAAACTTGTTTTTCTTTTAATGTTGAAGTTAAAGCTATTAATTCCTGCTGGTGCCAATAAAATAGTGACCTTAGCTAGATTCTAAAGAAAATAAGCTACTTGATGAGTACATTCTACAGTTAAACCTACTTAAAAGACCAACATGAGAGCTTTATAAATACAACTTGCATATCTGAACACAAATTAAAAATGGGTTAGTATCTAATTTTCATTTTAGTTTGGAAAATATGAATAAAAGGCCAGTAAACATCATTCTTAATGCTACTCCATTAATTGATTAATTAGAATGTAGTGATGACAGTAAATATAGGCAAGTTAGCTCAATTCCCTCCTACTCTTCTTCTATTATAGATTACAAGCATGGCAAATGGACATGGAGACAACCTGGTCTAGGTACCAGCAAATACCTAGCTGTGGATATAACTAAGTATTATCATACAAATGATACTCTGGAACAGAAGTATCCCATAAACTGCTCTGCAATAGGGGAAATGTTCTATTTTTGTGCAGTCCAGTTACAGGTAATGTTAAGAAACTGAATGTAACTGGTATGACTGAGAAACTTCCTTACAAATTAATTAAAAAGTCACATTTGGCTAGTAGCTTCTTTACCAGATGGCTCAATTATAGACTCACTCTGCTAGTTAGGTAGATCCTAGGATTTGAGAAGCAAATTTCTCTGTCTTCCCTGAGCTGTTAGCATAGGAAAAAAACATTCTATTTTACTGAGCTATTGCATTTTGAATTCACTATAATTGGTATGATCACTTTGACATAATAGGTGAAATTACAAATAAATATATCTGGGACGGAAATAGAACTGGTAAGAGGAACACTAAAATTAGGTTTTATTTCTAGCTTTATTGACTTCTATTACATTTTCTTATTTTAATTTTTGCAGAGCTGAGGACTAAACTTAGGGCCAGTGCCCTTCCACTGAGCTAAATTCCCATATTCCCAATCCTTAATTCAAATTTTTTATAAAACTTTTTATATTATAGCTATATGTTTAGTAAAATTTCAAAAAGTCTTTAAAAGCAATAAAAACAGGTGTCCTGGTTCAGTCTTTCTGTTTTGTTTTATATACAAATTTTTAGAAGGTAAGCCTATTTAGAACACTGTAGAAAAGTAGTGTATACATTCTAAGATTAAATAGAACTGCTTATAATAGCTTAATTCTATACTATTTTATGTAATACAAGCTTCTTGAAGGCAATCGGTGTACATGCTACCTATGACACATAAATATTACCTGAAAGCATCAAAACTAAATATACTACACAAAATACAGTATTTTCTTTACTTATCATTGTTCCAATCAAGCTTATTCTTAATGGAAAGGACTCCATAGTACCTCTATTATTTGTCCCATTTCTCAAGTCAGGCTGAGATGCTAATTGTTCCTTCACTGTATCTAGCCGTTGTTGTAGTTCTTCTGATGTTATTTCTCCTGAAATAATGAAAGGTAGCTCATTTAACAATTTTAAATTACCAAGTTTTATGAGAACTCATGAAGGCTAAAACTAATTTTTAGCAAACTATAGAAAACAATGTTATTATTTTCTTATGTTGTGCAAAGTGAACAATTAAAATATTTAACTGACACACATACATCAATTTGGTTGTGGCTCACATGCAATTTTATTAAAATTAAAATATGATTTGAGTAATTGGTAAAACACTGTTACCTCTTACATATAGGACCTATAAACAATAATTATGTGCATTTTTGTCAGGCTTAAAAAGGAATTAGGCTGTGTATAATAACTTATACTTGGGAAACAGAAACCAGGAGGGTTCATGGTTCAAGGCCAGCCGAGGCAAAAAGTTAGCAAGACCTTCCCACACTCCACAAAAATTAGCCAACTGTGCAAGGTGGCACATGGATGTGTGCATATGTAAGAGGGTCTTGGTCTAAGACAGCCCAGGGCAAAAATGTTAAAACAAAAGGGCTGGTATATAGTTCAGGTAATAGAACAACTGTCTAGCAAGAATAGAGCTTGTGTTTAAAAAAATGTTTAAAGAGAATAAATAAATAAACAAATAATAAATTAACAAGGGAAGCCAGGCCCCTTTGGCTTCTGTCTGTAACCCTAACTACTCAAGAAGCTGAGATTTGAGAATCATGGTTTGAAGGAAGCCAGCCTGGGGAAGAAAGTCTGTAAAATTGTCTCCAATTAACCGTCGAAAAGCTGGAAGTGGAGCTATAGGTCAAATAGTGGAGTGCTAGTCCTGAGCACAGAAGCTCAAGGACAGCTCCCAAGCCTTGAGTTCAAACCCCTGGACTTATTTTTAAAAAAAAAAGTACTTTGACAAAACTTCAAATCTTCCTTGAAATCTTACTTGAAATTTACATATTAAATAGGCCAGCAACATAAAAACAATATTTAAATGCAGAAATTTCATGTTATTTGTTAAATAAATTTCTAAGAATATTACAGAGCACATTGAACTTTGGGGGCTATTACTTTGCAGGTTAATAATTAACACCTCAAATGAGTTAGACTTGAGTTTAAAATATTTTATAAATAATATTTTGTTTAACTTTAGAGAACTGGAGCATTCAGGGTATAACTCAGTAAAAAAAAACACTTGCTTAGGGGGAGTGGGGGGAGGATGGGATGGGAAGGGGAAACAAAGGAGGAGGCTACAATGCTCGATAAGAAATGAACTCATTATCTTGCCCATGTAATTGTAACCCCTCTGTACAGTATTTTCACAATAAAAAATAAATTAAAAAAAAACAAAAACCACTTGCCTAGCATTTCTTAGGTTCAATCCATAACAATGTAAAGCTGAAAGAAGAAGGGGTGAGGAGAGTGGTAGGAGAGAGGCTTGAATATATGTTCAAATACTTAACACTTACACATTAATGTCTTAGTTTGAAATTTGTTAGTACACATAAACAGTATTCTCCTCATAAAATAGAGAAGTGAACTAGTAGCTTTTCGACTGTTATTTTGTAAAGTTTTTAACTTCACAAAAACAGTTCATATTTTGAGAGAGGAAAGTGGGGGGACGGGTGGTGGGGGAAGGCTGTCCTTACTTGAAATGCCTCTTTCCGATGATGAAAAAAAAGACAGACTGTCTTTCATGCATATCTTACCAGGGGTGCCTAAAAGATTATGGTCTCTCATTAGCCGATAATCTTCATCATTCAGTTCATTAATAAACTGATAATAGGCTTCTTCTCTGTGGAGACGCTCTTGCTGCCATCTTCTCTCATTTTCACGATGATTTTGTTCTTGAGATGAAGTTTCTTCGCCACCACCATCAGATCTAGGTCTAGACTGATTCATACTGAGGCTCTGGGATTCCTGTTCAAATAAACATCCACACATATACACACATATATGTATATATGTATATAAGCCAAGGTATTATCATGGACTGCATATGACTTTGCATTTTAAAATTAGTATTTTTAAAATTGTGTGCCTTACTCAAATACTTCATTTGTCAAATCTTGCAGTGGGAGAACTTAAGATAATTTTTTAAAAATACCTTATAAAGGACAGAAAACATATGGGCCTATTACTTTGCCTTGTGCCTAAAATCATTAGTTAGCCAGGCAGAATTCAGCACAAAGGCTTCATAGCGGAACCAAAGTGATTATTTCCCTCTCCTTCTTTGATACTCTGGTGAAACTTGTCTAAAAGTCGTCACTCAAGTTTCAAATATTTGGGTACTTCATTTTAACACAGCAATCTTAGGCTTGAGTTATTCATGTTCTTAATAAGAAAGGGCCACTTAAGGGATAGGGGTGGGGTATAATTTATATTTATTTCCAGAAATGAAATGCTTCCAAAATAAAGGTAATAAAGGTAGTATCATCACCACAATCTCACTGCACCTTCTTGAACAAAAAATAATTTACCTATTCTATCTTCTGAACAGACTCAGAGTTGATCTCTCCTTAAATCTCAACAGGAATGTTATGAAATCCTACAAGAAACAACAGGACACCTGCAGCTCTTAAGTTTGTGGGTGTACATCAAAACACTGTGCTCTTCCCTCAGACTGGAATGGTTAGGTCCAGGGATTTGACTGCCAGTGAAACTTACTGACTTTGCCTAAGCAGATGCTATTTTTGGATTACATTTGAATGTCATTTCCCAAGAAGCTTATTTTCAATTTTTTGACTACTTTATTTTGTCAGTCCTGTGGTTTGAACTCAGATTTTCAAATTATAAAGAAAGAGAGAGAGAACCATTTGTCTCATAAGTATTTTAGATTTTTTTTCAGGGTGGGGGGGGGGTAGGTCATGCCTTGAACTCTGGGCCTGGGTGCCATCCCAGAGCTCTTCAGCTCAAGCACTCTACCACTTGAGCCACAGCACCACTTCCTGTTTTCTAGTGGTTAACTGGAGATAAAAGAGTTTCAGGGACTCTCCTGCCCAGGGTTGGCTTTGAACCATGATCCTCAGATCTCAGCCTCCTGAATGAATAGCTAGGATTACAGGCATGAGCCACAGGCACCAGGCATATTTTAGAATTTTTTTTTGGGGGGGGGGTCTGGTCGTGGGGCCTGAACTCTGGACCTGGGCGCTGTCCCTCAGCTCTTCAGCTCAAGGCTAGCGCTCTACCACTTGAGCCACAGCACCACTTCGGCTTTTTTCTTTTTGCTTATGTGGTGCTGAGGAATCGAACCCAGGGCTTCATGCATGCAAGGCAAGCGCTCTACCACTGAGCCACCTTCCCAGCCCATATTTTAGAATTTTTTTAAGCACATCAATCTAATAAGTTACTAATATAGGAGTTTATCACACTTACATGAAGGCACTCTTTTAAAATTCAGATGCCCAGATCTCATTCCCAATCCATGGTCAAAATTTCCCAGGGTAGGGTTCAAGTGTATCATTAATAGCTAATGGAGGTATTCTGCTGAGGAAATAAACTATTCTTTGACAATCTTTTGGTGCTCTCACTAAGAGATATGTGTAACAATACAACACCTGAAAGAATGCAGTCTGGAGCACAAATGGCTAGGCTGCCAGGGAAGCAAATGTTGCAACTCTACCTCTGAAAATATGCCAGGTGTTTAATGCAAGCTGCTTTACAGAGAAGTTAGCCTAGGAGTCTAAACTACTGTAGGAGTAGGCAACTATCCAATTTCCATGTATCTTAAATTACAAATTCAAGGTGTTTTTACTGTGGTTATTACACTGTCACTCTGAATGAAAAATCGAGTAGCACTGTCCACTAAAATGCGAGTTAACATTATTTTAAACGCAAGATTTCCCATTTCTAGAACTGTCAGGCCCATAAATCAGCAAGAGCATTATTTGGCAGTTATAAGATACTAACCAACTTACAAAATTAAAAACTGATATAAAAATCAGGACAGCCTAATACTAGAAAACCTGAAACTTGCTCCTCTGAGATATTAGTTTTGTACAATTATCCACAATTAAATCCACGTGAATACCTTATTTTCCTTTCAACATGTCCTTAACATATGAAATCGTATCCATCCTTCAGTTGTTTGTGCCTTTTTTGAGAGCTGCCCATCTGAAGCAATAAAAAGAGAGCTGAATTATTCATGAAGTTGCTTCTTTGAAGGCCAGAGACTCCCAACTCTAATGCAAAGCCAACGAATATTCTCCAGTGGATTTTGTCATATGCTCACCTAGAAAATGTAAAAGAGTCCCCACACAATCCGGTCATGGAAATCACCCCCGCCCTCTCCAAGACCTTCTTTTCTCTTCTCGCACGACAAATCTAGGCCTTGCCTCTACACCGTCACTGCTCCTGGGATCAGGCCTCCTCTCTCAACGGCCTTCCTTCCTACCACATACCCATTCGGATGCTGCCAGGGTTAGGTTGATTCCACTTCGAAAACCCTTACTTTCTTGCCACCTCCGCCCTCCGTCCCGCTACTGGTTCTTTCCCTGGCCGTTGCGAAGGAAGCTCGCGCCTAAAGGACCGTCCCCACTACAACCAACAAACCTGGCTCCCGGGCCCCAACCAACCTCTCCCCCAACCGGGTCTCAAGTAACGCTTCCCTGAGCGACCTAGATTCCCACCGGGAAGCAGGTGACAGACGGTGCTTCCAAGCCAATCCCCAGCTACGGAAACTCATTTAGAGAGAAGTTAACCAATCAGAGAAAAGGTGGGTGGTTCCCCCCCCCCAAGGACGGCCTGCTTTCAGAGGCGTATCCAGGAAGTAGTGGTGGTTAGGACCCTGAGCGACCAGCACTCCCCTCCGCCCCCACCCCCGGCCCACCTCCACTGGAACCGTCCGACCCGCCTCCAGCCCGGAAAAATACGAGGAGGCCGTGGGCGGTTGTCCTCTCCGCCCGCCGGAGGCTGTGGTGGGGCGGCCGGACAGGGTGTCCGCCGCGCCTTGAGGGGCCCGTGGTGTCCTTGAAGCGGGCCCTGCTGCAGTGTGGGGTCGCCGAGGCCGAGGGGAAGCTAGGCAGCAGAACGGCAGGTCCCGGACCGTAAGCTCCCTCCACCAGGCCGCGCGGAGGGAGGCCGCTGGGCTGCGGGGTCTGAAGCGCCAGGGTGGTGCGTCTGGAAACTGCCTCCGGCGGGAGCGGACGCCTGCGTTCCGCCCCCCCGCCACGCCGCGGTCACGGGGCCCTCCTTTTCAAGTCCAGACCTCCGGGCCCACTGATCGCGGGGCGGGCGGGCGGGCGGGGGGAGCGGGGGCAGCGCGCCATCTCAGAGACGCTGTGCTTGTTCCATGCTTGCAGGGTGCCAGCACCTGCACCTGTTTGTGTCTCTTAACTGTCCAGGTGTAGTGTGTTAATCAGCCTGGCCTTTTCGGCTAGCCAAGAGTTGGAAAGTCCAATAAATGGCTTCTAAGTGCTTTTTCTTTCCTTTGGCACGACCACAGTTCAACTGAGATCACCCAGCGTGCTAAGCACGTCCTCAACCACTTGAGCCACTCTTGTGACTGTTTTGAGATAGTCTTGGTTTATGCCCAGGCTAGCCTGGAATGCGAGCCAATATTTGTGCTTTCTAGAATAGCTAGGATGATAGGCACATACCACTGAGGCCAGCCATTATTTGAGATGGAATCCCATGAACTTTGCCTAGGCTGGCCTATTACTGTGATTCCCTGATCTCTGCCTCCCAAGAAGCTAGGATCAAAGGCTTGAGCCATATCCACCTGGCTTGTGGGGTTTGGGAGGAGAACTTTTTCTTTCTTCCTTTCTTTCTTTCTTTCTTTCTTTCTTTCTTTCTTTCTTAACTTTTTCTTTCTTCCTTCCTTTCTTTCTTTCTTTCTTTCTTTCTTTCTTTCTTTCTTTCTTCCTTCCTTCCTTCCTGTTTCTTCTTTCTTTTTCTTTCTTTCTTTCTTAATTTCTCTTTCTTTCTTTCTCTCTCCTTCCTTCCTTCCCCCTCCTTTCTCTCTCGATTTGCTGTTGAGAAAATAGCTTAAAACCCCTAACCATCTGTGGTTTGAGTTCTTTGTTTTCTAAGATTCATAGTTAAGTTCTTCACTTGGTCTCAATCGTCATCATCAGGCCCTGTTCTAACATAGCTCCATTTCCTGACACCCTCACCATCTAAATGACTTAAATCATCTAAGGTGCTCATAGAGATGTTATCACATTCCTTCCTTCTTTCATTGTTGCATTGACTACTTCCATCTTTATGCTGACTGCCTTTATAAGAAGATGCACTATTTAGCATGAGTTGCCCTACCAGTATAATAGGGGTAAATCGTCAAATTTTTAATCAGCATATTGATGTCAATAATAAAAAGAAAATATGCATGTAGAGCACACTGCAAGGACTTCAATATTTCTCTGCTGTACACGCTGTGATCTTTTGGCACTCTTAAAATATTTGATGTTCCATATCAAGTTATAATAACTTGATATAATAACTGATGCAATCATCAACCTTTTACCAAACTTCCTCTCTCAGGACTTAGCTCAAATCTTATTTTTTTTATTTTCAGTACTTGAGTGTGAAAACAATGCTTACTAGGTAGGCATTCTGCCCTGAGGTATGAGCTATATTATGATCCTCCTATTTTTCACTTCCCACAGTAGATAGCATAACAGGCACAAAGTATCACAGCTCTTTCTTGTTGAGACTTTTCTACTTTGGCTGGCTTGGAACCATGATCCTACCAATCTCAGCCCCTCAAGTAGGTAGGACTATTGGTGTGAGCCCCAGGTGCCCAACGTGAAATATCATTTTTAAGGAAATTTTCCTGATGTACCCTAGGTGCTCACTTTAACCTCATCCAATATCTACACATAAAATGGATGCCCATTCTAAATGCTCCTATAATTCTTGTATAATTCAATTTCTTTTAATATTTTTTTCAGTACTGGGGATCAAACTGAAGGTGTCACTCATTCAAACACTCTGCTTAGATCATATAAAACTTTTAGCATGAATTCCTCTATTTAATAGAATGTGACTATGAACTAGAGCCAGTGATAACAGTGATACATGAAATGTCCTACTAAACAATGGCTGTGCCTTACATTTTTTTTTAGTGCTGGTCCTGGGGCTTTAAACCAGGTCCTGAGTACTGTCCCTGAACTTTTGTGCTCAAGGCTAGCACTCTACCACTTGAGCCACAGCTCCCTGCTTTTTCTGATAACTAATTGGCGGTAAAAGGCTCACAGACTTTCCTGCCCAGGCTAACTTCAAACCCCAATCCTTAGATCTCAGCCTCCTGAGAAGCTGGGATTTGGATTCATGGCCCCTAGCACTCACTTAGCTTCTTCTCACAAGGCTAGTACTCTACTACCTGAGCCACAGTTCCACTTCTCTGACTTTTTGGTAAGTTAATTGGAGAAAAGAGTCTCACAGACTTTCCTGTCTGGGATGATCCACAGATTTCAGTGTCCTAAGTAGCTAGGCTTACCTTACTTTTTAGTGGAAAAAGATAACCATTAAGCAAGTATTCTTAGTAGTTTTCTGTTCATTTTTCAGTCTTCCCTCACATAGAGCCTAAGCCCATTAAATGTGAAGAAATAATTTTATTCATTTTCTTTAGCCTTAGAACTTATCATGGCACTTGGAACAATGCTATGGAACAATGCTATCCTCCCCTTACTGCATGGCTGAGCAGAGAAAATTACAATTCTGTAGCAAACAGGATTAGTACATGTTAGTACTATGATCTTAGATATTGTGAATACAGGTCAGAGAAAAAAGCATATATTATACATACAAATTCAAGCAGAAATCACTTTAAATATTGATATGTGTTTTAGAAGTAAAAATACTTTTTAAATGTTAAATGGAGAAGAAATGTATATGTTTGAAGAGTTAAAAATTTAAAAACATGATCTTTTTTGTTTGTTTTTTGTAGGATTCAGGTTACTGGAAGCAGAGTTGGGATGAATGTAGGGAAGTAGATGTGATAGCTGGATAAAAGAAATAAATCATTCTGAGTATTTCCAAGTCACATAAAAAGTTAACATTTCTTGTCTACACAATTTTAGTTTTTGTTTGTTTGTTTGTTTGTTTGTTTGTTTTTGCCAGCCTGAACTCTGGGCCTGGGTGCTGTCCCTCAGCTCTTCAGCTGAAGGCTAGCGCTCTACCACTGGAGCCACAGCACCACTTCCAGCTTTTTCTCCTTATGTGATGCTGAGGAATCGAACCCAGAGCCTCATGCATGCAAGGCAAGCATTCTACCACTGAGCCACTTTCCCAGCCCCACAATTTTAGTTTTTAAGTGTCTCCCATAATACCTTCTTGCTGGAAATTAAGTCCCTTGGTCTGAGGCAGGACTGTATGAAATCTTGTGTCAATATATCAGACATTCTTTAAGCCCTTTGATAGTGGAACTGGCTGAGGAAATGAGGGCCAGAATGGCAACCACATACTTGGAAAGCATGTCAAACCCAGTCATGACGAACTGTTCCTCTTTGCAGGTTAGAAGCTGCCTGATACAACTGATTTGCCACCCAGTGACTGTTTGGCCATCTTGACAGTCCATTAACTCTCTGCTGTTGATGGGTCAGATGCTGAATAGCAACAGCAATTATAACAGCTTTGGTGTGAATTCAAACTATTGGACCTATGCAGTTTCCACTTCTGCCATGGACACTATCCACCAGCCTAATGTATAAAAATTAGGGTGGCTGTGACAGCCGTTGTCTGCAATGTGCTAACCTAGTCATTCTGCCTACTGATTGGTTAATGTTCTGCTATAATGGAAAGTCTTTGTGCCCTTATCACAGGTAAACCCATCTGCCTATTAGCCAGTCTTCCCCATATCTTTCAAAACCCCTGACCAACAATCTAGGCTAACATTTGTTGTTGTCCATGAATAATCATTTTCCTCTTCCTCTTCCTCCCCCTCCTCCTCCTCCTCCTCCTCTTCTTTTCTTCTTCTTCTCTTCCTCTTCCTCCTCCTCCCCCTCTTCTTCTTCTTCTTCTTCTTCTTCTTCTTCTTCTTCTTCTTCTTCCTCGTCCTCTTCTTCCTCTTCCTCTTCCTTTTCCTCTACTCTTCCTCTTCCCCCTCCCCTCCTCCTCCTCTTCTTTTTCTTGTCCTGGGGCTTGAACTCAGACCTTGGTCACTGCCCCTGAGCCTCTTTTGCACAAGGCTAGTGGCCTACCACTTGAGTACAGCTCTACTTCCAGAATTTTGGGTAGTTTTGAAGAGTTAAGAATCTCACAGACTTTCTTGCCCAGGTTGGCTTTGAACTACAATCCTCAGACCACAGCCTCCTGAGTAACTAGGATTATAAGAGTGAGCCATCAGTGCCTGGTCCATGAATTCTTTTAAATGGGCCACTTCTATCTGCAAATGAAGTTGATGACTAAATCCACTGCCTATAGCTCTACCAACTGGGAGGATTACAGTAACATGTATTCTCACTTCACACTCATCCCAAGCTGAGCTATCCATAACTCAAACATTCACATGTTTCTTAACTCTAAGGCCACATATTTGAGCTGAGGCACTGATGCAGTAATGGTAAGTAGCATGTTACTCTCTGTAGCAGATGATACATTTGTTCCAGAGCCCTGTGGTCTGTACTGTGCCTCACTAATTAGGGCTTGTCAATGTGATGTAAGTATCCCATTGTTTTTCTAATAACTTGGGATTCATAAAGTCAAAGTGGAAGGACTACTTGTATCCAGAGATCTACTTACTACAGAATCCTTTATGGTCCTGGGCTTTACTAAAAGCCAATCACTTTCTAAGTTATTAAAGCCAATAATTTACTAAAAGCCAATTGTTTCCAGTCCTGCCAAGCATTCTCCTTTTCTTCTTAGTGGTAGGAATGCAAGGTAAAAGAAATTGTCTTATACTTTGAAGAGGATGTTTCAGAACTCTTAAGCTCTTAAAAAAAACCCTTAGAAACTTCATTTATGTGTCAGACTCCTAGGTCTTGGAAGCTTTATTTCCTATTTTCTACAGTATATGAGTACTTGACAACTCTGGGTCGTGGGGTCTAACCAACATGATAGCATCAATAGAGCATACCAATGAAATATTCTGCTGGACATCCAGGTGATTTGAGGCCCTGTGGATTATTAAGACGGAGGTCAGAATAGTTAACATTGCCCA